AAGTTTTAAAACATTATATTAACTTCTATGTATTTTTATCACATTTGACAAATTATGGAAATCACTGAAAGAAAAATCCTAGCATTTTTATTCACTATTATTTTGAATTCGTACATAAACTATATCTAATACGACACAGTCTGTTAAAAAATAAACATTTTGCCATAAAACTTTTTTTATGAGGTTTACTCTCTGCCCAGCTATTTCTGATACATTAAATGACAAGACCTGATCACATTAAGGTCTGAAGCTGCAAACAAAACTGCTAATACCTCAAGAAAAGGTTTTATATGACAGTTCAAAATATAGAGCTCAACAATTACCTTCAGAGACCTACACTTAGGAAATATTTACAGAGTTGGCTTCTCAGTGTTTGCGCAGAGCCAAAGATATCCTTTGTATTTACTGCATGATGAGTGCTTCATCCTTAGCTTACATGGCTAACCAAATGAAAAGTACTGATATCATATTTAAGGTGCTAACAATATCTTTATATGGGTTTTTTTGTAAGAATAAAATTAGTTTTAAAATTGAGAAACTTCACTTTAAAAAATTAATGCCTAGAATTTGTTTAATCACTGATGCAGAATATAATTCACTTAATAATGCATAGTATTCTTCCCTACACAATGACATTTAGTAGAAGGATCAATATAAATATGCAAAAAAAGCATATTTTCTTGAGTTTTACACAGTTACTTTTGGGTTAAAATCTGGTTACATACATACATATTTTCAACTTTCTACCACTGGGGGGTGGGGAGGAAATCCCAGATATATCCAATACAAAATACTGAAGAGGGCAATCAGATTCTTCCAATGTAAAGATATTAGAAGAGAAGAAAACTTTCTAACTCAAGAAAATACCCATAATAAACCCTAAAAAAACAGGAGCAAAGCAGAAAAATTACATACCTCCTTATAGAAGGATCTAACTTATTGTGGTAAACTGAATTATGTAAATGACAATAGCAACATGCCCTGTTGGACAGAACAGATAGTTTGCAAAAATTTTCATCTAATTACACAAATTTGGTTTTTAATCTTTAGGCAAAAGACCTGGGGGGAAAATACATGTCTCAACAGTGACCTCTAGTGGACAAGTGTTAAAATGGCGTCTCAAAAGAACTTCAGGGCTTGAAACAAGGAGAAAACCATTTACAAAGCTAACACTTCTAAAAAAACACCACAAAAAATAGGGATCAGATTAAGGAGCCTACTGAAAAGACTCAGCTAACATTGGCTTAAAACAGGGTAATCACAAAGGCAGGGGGCAGAGGAGGAGGGCAGAGACATAGGTACACAGGCTTTGGGATAATCGCTACATTCCCTTCTTGCCAAACACTGAGAGCAAGCAAACCCTTGGAGACATCAGCTCAGTCTGCTAGGACTTGGCACAACTCATCACCTATGAATCCATTCATCAACCAGTACTGAGTTCCTATTTCTTTTTCCCCATGCCTTTGGTAGTTTCGTGAGGTGGGAATATGAAATAGCTTCAGACAGAGCTCCTAACCTCAAGAAACTGAAGATATAACTATATGAAGAAATTGGCCAATAACGTGAGACCTTAAATATATAAAACTAACCTTAAGTGAAAGAGTAACAGGCCTGAAGCTGTGACCCCTCGAACAATACAAGTATGCTTTATGCAGAAGTGAAACAGCTCAGCCCATGAAGTGCTGAGGAAGCAGCATCGCAGGCTGGTCACATCCCAGCTTTCTCTACCTGCGCATTTGGGGGTGCACCTGGGCACTGCGGCCACAGGACGCCACTCCTTAACTATGAAAGGTTCCAAGAGACTATACAGATGATGGGGACGTCAGTTCCCACCACATAAGGTGATGTTTCTTGAGAGCATTCAGTCTAGCACGTCTGAAGTGAGCTCGTAATGAGTCAGGAACAGAAGTCTGCGGTGGCCCCGTCTACAGTTCCCTGCGCCAGAGAACCCTGATGAAGCAGTCCAGTTTCCACACTGAGCACTTCACCCCCAGCCAGCTATCTCCTCTTAGGCCCTGCCACCCAGCACTCGTCCTTCCACCAACCCTGCTCTGTGGGGAGGATTGGGAAACCATGACGTGCACTGCTGCAGGCATTAAACAAGAATGACGAAAGGCCCCTGCTTTCAAGACAGCTTAAGATCTATTTGGAGAGACAGAAGCAACCTGAAGCAAGAGAAGAACAAGTTAGCACTACACTAGTGCTGAGAGTCTGTGAACAACAGGAGCCTGGGTGGAAAGAGCTCCAGTTGGCCAGGGCACTCAGGGTCCTCCAGGAGAGGACAGGGGGAGGGTGGTGAGGCTGCAGCAGAGCAGAAGGGAGGAGGTGCAGAGCAGGCCCAGGCATGGGGAGACTGATGTACAGCAGCTGGTGGCAAGGAGAGGCCAGCTATGAGGCACGGGGTCAGATCAGGGCAGGTTCTGCAAGGCAGGGAATCACAGCACCTTCTCCCAAATGTGTGTAGCATTGCAGGGAAACTGGTGGCAGAGCCACAGCCCTGCTCTGAGACCATTCCCACTGGGCCAGGAAGAACCCGGTGAGGTTTGCAGAGAGCACCAGTCACAGTCACAAAGAGGCAGAGGAAAAACTTCACCTGCTGCTCAGCCTCCGTCTCCTTACATGCATCCTGGACAGTCAGGTAGACAGGGAAGTTGCTGCAGTGGGAGCACCTCTCGCCATCTGCACCAAAACCTGCCCATCCACGCTGCCCCCAGCCCCCAGGTTTAAATTCAACAATGTCACCATGACAATGAGGATTGCAAACAGAGATTAGCTTGGCAATTCTGAAATACTTTTTATGAACTCTAATACAAAAAACTTCAATAGTTTCTGCCCACAGAATCTTGGGGACTAAAGGTTCATCAGACTGCTCTCAGCTTCTTCCTGGCCTCCCTTGAACTGTCCTGAGTGGCCTGTCCATATCAGACCACCCACGGGGAGAGGACGTCAGCTTCGTGCCACATTGTCCTGATGGCCCCACAGATACTGACTTGAGTGGAGTCAAACAGTGGCCCCAAGTCAGGTCCCCGTTTGAGTAAGCCAGTCATTCAGTCCATGAGTACATAGCAGAGATGTCATAGAACAGTGTAGTTGGCGTACTAACTATGAGAAAAACAAATACATTTGCAAGATAAAAGCAGAACTGAGGGGTTTATTTTTGGAGTCCCAGTGGTTTTAATGCAGCTGTCAGCCAGCCCCTATTAAAACCACAAAAAGTGAAAGACACTGATAACACTAAAAAGTGACAGGACGGTGTGCTCCACCACATACATTTAATGCATATTTATATTTCCATCAAAGGACATGTTTACTATAAATGCTCGAAAAATCATAGCAGAGTTCTTCATTTAAATGCCAGAAAAATAGTAAAATATGTTAATCTGACCTTAGTGGGACAGTTTGTGTGTCACCGACACTATTCACAATAGCTTGACACAGAGTTTACCAAGACGATTAATTAGAGTTTACTGGATTAGGTCGAAAGTGTCTCAAATGGCATGGGGCAGGGGGTCGGGGACAAGGAAAGAAGAAATATGACTTCCATTCACAGTCAGTCTCTGTAACAGCAGATACAATTTAACTCCTTGTTTATGACTAAATTAATTTCATATGCCTAGAGAAAGAAACTGACCCACTGATTCCTGAGGTTCCTATACTTGTGAACATGTAAAAAGACAGAAACTACAACTATCTGGAAGGTTTTTAAAGAATAATTAATGATGTAATGGGAATAAAACATGCTTTGCTTTCTTGTGTAAATATTAACTGTTTTCACTCGAATGATGATGCAGACCTAACAATGGTAAGCCTGGCCATTAAATATTTTTATGAACTAAGCAATAGAGAGCTTCAGGAATTTCTGCTCACAGAATCCTGGGGAATTAAGGGATCATGCAATCCACCCTTCCAAATTGCAAATCTTCTCTGAACCTGGGATTATGGTCTTGGTGGACACCAGGATCATTTGCTACAAAAACCATGAAACTGGCAATAAATTACCTATTACAAACATGGTGACATTTGACTCGAAGCCCCCACTTTCAGCTTCTGTGCCCACCACTATGCAAACATGACAATTGTGCCACTCCGCTTTGCATTACAAATGTGCTTTTTGCTAAAAATGAACCAATCTGCTTGTTTCCTGCACACTAGGGGCCCCAAATGCCGCTCTTAATTCTCAATAATCAACACCTTTGTGGAATTGCTTAAAGCAGTACATAATGCACACATACACAAACTCATGACACAAATCCCACAACGTGACATTCTGCTCAATTTCACTGGGCTTGGAAAGCACCCTAACAAATTCTTACCACATGATGAGAAAATCATTCAAGTCTGCAGGAAATATGGCAAGCGCAAAGAAGTGACAGTTAGGAGTGAGAAAGGAGAGCCAGTCCCTGTCATTAAAATCTTTGAAGCCACAGCTCTAAGAATAAGATGGACCATTATCTTTCACATAAGATACTCCTATATAAATAGACACTAATTCTACCATATGTTAACCATACAACGAGCCACCAATGCCCCAGACTTGAGGATCTGAAAACTGAGAATGCAAATTTATATACTTTATACAACTTAATCAGTTCTTCCCGTGTCAATTGGGGAGGGAAATTTTATCAATAGTTAAATATTCCCCCTTTGAGGAGGAAGTATAAATAAAAGCTAGTAACTCTCATTCAAATATTTTTTGGTCTTTTTTTGCTGAGATACTAACTAATGGTATGGCAGGTCAGGTCACTGTGGCATTCACCATCCTTGAATGGGGCTATTTCCAGAGAAACAATGCTATTTTCTTTTTTCAGTTTCCACACACAATAGGAAAGAATCCAGAAAAATACAGAAGACCATGTGCTCATAGTGTCACCAAAATAAATTTTAGGTTCCCCAAAATAACTATCTGTTATTAGTATCTTTAAAGGAAACAACAGAATCAGCAATATGACAGTATTACCTACAAGTCAGACATTGTGTAACACATGATCAAGTTAACTCACTTGTTAGCTTGTTGTGGCTCAGGACCAGCTGTGTGATGTGGGATAAGGAGACTGTAGAAGAAAAAAAGAAAAAAATCATGCAATCAGTAAATGTACTGAAATGATGCCAACACTCCTACAAGGTAAAGTGCTAAATTGTTTTCACAGGTTCAAATGTTACCACTCAGAAAAATAAAAGCAAGGATTCATATAACCTGTCTGTTAAATCAAATTAAGAAAAGTCATGCATTAGTGTTGTAATTAGTACGGCAAGTTGGAACTAATGAGATCAATGTCTCAGGATCAAACCTGACAAGGTCCAGTCAGCTTTGCTTGCAGACCGGGTCCTGGTCTAGCCTGAGTGATCCTGATCCACCTCAGTAACCTGAGCCAGTCACAGGAATGGGCGGAGGGTGGGAGACGCACAAGTGCACACCTGTGCTGCAAAAGTCATCATATCAAGAGGGGAAGACCATGTCACAGAAACCTGCAGCACGTTACTTCATCTATGCCCACTGCCAACCCAGAAATTCTTCTGCACACTATCAGATGATCAGAAAAAAAATCTTCTTTTCCTCTCAAAATATTTTGGTTGATGTTTCAAAGCACCTGCTGATTGTTTGGCAGTTTTAAACATTATCTTGGAGGTTTAATCTGCCAAACAAGATTACATTTGCTTAAACTATGGTTTTCCCAACTATTAAGAAAAGAAATACACACAGACCCACCAAAAAAGAAAAAAAGAAAAAGAAACCCAGAGAAAAAGTGACCTGCCTTCCATTTTGGGTTCTAAAACTTCACTTTATGATGATACATATATATATATGTGCAATATAATTATATAATATATAATGATATATTAGTTAAGAACAGATCTAGACATTTTTCCAATATTCATTCTGTAACAACATTTTATTAATGCAGTAGTTTTCTCCTTATGAGGGTAAGAAGACAAAAATTTTCTGATGAAAGGTCTCAGTACTAGAGCCCAGCATGCTAAGAAGAAAATGTGTATGCATCCTTCTTGACCACAACTTTTGAGTATTTTTCTTTTTTCTCTCAACTGTCAAAGTCATAGAAGAGCTCGACATACAGTACAAAGACCTGTTTTCCTGCTCTGAGCCATTTGAGATGAAGCTGCTGGCCTAATGGCCCATAAACTGAGGATGTTCCTACAAAGAGACTCTCCTGCCTAATTACAACACAGCCATCAAAGTCATAACCTTAACATGACACACCACAACCAGCTAACCCCTGGCACTCATCCAAGTTGCACCAACTGTCCCAATCATTTCTGTTATAAAAAGGATCCACATTGCTTGTAGCTACTAGGTCTCTCCAAGTCACCTTTAATACTAGAGTTTCTCTCCTTGACTTTCACAAGCTTGGCAACTGTGAAACCTGCAGGCCAAATCACTTTGTATTATGTCCTCCCCTGTGGATTTGTCACTTGTGTGTTCTTGATTACATTTAGGTTAAGCATCTCTCACAGGAATATAGAAGAAACGCTGTTCACATTGCATCCTCTCAGGTGGCACATGGTTTCAATCAGTCCCATCACAGATGAGCTTACCTTGATCACTTATATTTTGCCAGGCTTCTCCTAAACAAATTTATTCTTTTCCACTTTGTAATGAGTATTTTTGGGGGAGTTACCTTGAAATTCACAAATATCCTGTCCACACGTATTCCATGGTCTCCAACCAGGGTTATTTTGAGCTCACACAACATTTGGCAACATTTGGAGATTTTTTTTTTGCTAACCATTAGGGCAGCTAGAAAAGCTAAGCTTGCGCAAGTTCTCACATTATCTTCTCACCAGACAGATCTTCCTACCAGCCAGCAAGAGTCTACAGCAGCTGCCCCTAACAGGAAGCGGCCAGGGGTGCCGCTACGCATCCTACAAGCATCCTACAACCCGCGAAGCAGCCAGCCCACCACAGAATCTTCCTCCTTTAAAAGGTCAACAGTGTTGCTGCTGAGAGCTGCAATCTGTTTATTTGTACTTATTTGTATGGCTTTGTGGTTTTCTGTTTAGTCAACAGGTTACAATCTATCATTACTATTTAGGCCGCTGTAAAAATTGTCCTGATTTGGCCTGTGGGAGCCTGTCCAAGCTGGCTGCTAAAGTCCTTGGGTCTTGTCTCCATGCGCTTTTTGGCCCATCAAGATATGCAAGTTCATCTTGTACTTTTTCTGCTACAGCCCTAAAATTATGATTTTTCTAATGAGTTCTGCTAACTATTACTGGAAAATTATATTCATGAGCCAAAATCTGGATCTGGATGTCAACTGTGCTCATTGGTATTTGGGGGTTCATTATTCTCAGCCCCTCTGAGTGCACAGAGCTAGCGCACACACACACAAACACACACACACCCCTACCTGTATGTTTTTTTTAATCACCAAATGTACAACACAGCAGTTCAACAAACCCTTCTCACTCCCCACCCGTTGGGCTTGGTAACCACTAGTAGTCACTTCTCAGTGTCTATGACTCTAATGCTGTTTTGTTCCTTCTATTTTGCCTTTTTGCTTTGTTTTGAGTATCGTCCAACTTTATTTTGAACCATTTTGGTATGCATGTATAGTGGTACCTCATTGTGGTTTTAACTTGCATTTTCTTAATAACCATCGCTATTGAAAGCCTTTTCCATTTTTTTTTTGTAATTATCACTATTATTTTTTGGTATCATTAATACATAATCACATGAACAACACTGTGGTTACTAGGTTACCCCATTATGAAACCCACACCACATACCCATTACAGTCACTTTCCATCAGCGTATTAAGATGCTATACAGTCATACTTATCTTCTCTGTGCTATACTGCCTTCCCCGAGCCCCCCCCAACTACAAATGTGTGCTAATTATGATGCCCCTAATTCCCTTCTCTCTCCCTTCCCACATATCCTCCCCAGTCCCTTTACCTTTCATAATTGTTAGTCCATTCTTAAGTTCTGTAACACTGCTGCTGTTTTGTTCCTTCAGTTTTGCTTTGTTCTTATGTGCCACAGATGAGTGAAATCAGTTGGTATTTCTCCAGTTGTCTTTCTCCACCTGGCTTATTTCACTGAGAGTAATACCCTCTAGCTCCATCCATGTTGTTGCAAATGGTAGGATTTGTTTTCTTCTATGGCTGAATAATATTCCATTGTGTATATGTACCACATCTTCTTTATCCATTCATCTACTCATGGTCACTTAGGTTGCTTCCATTTCTTGGCTATTGTAAATAGTGCTGTGATAAACATAGGGGTGCATGTGTCTTTTTCAAACTGGGCTGCTGCATTCTTAGGGTAAATTCCTAGAAGTGGAATTCCTGGGTCAAATGGTATTTCTATTTTGAGTTTTTTGAGGAACCTCCATGCTGCTTTCCACAATGGTTCAACTAATTTACATTCCCACCAGCAGTGTAGGAGGGGTCCCCTTTCTCCATATCCTCGCCAGCATTTGTTGTACCTACTCTTTTCTATGTTGGCCATCCTAACCGGTGTGAGGTGATATCTCATTGTGGTTTTAATTTGCATTTCCCTAACAATGAGCATTGTGGAGCATTTTTTCATGTGACTGTTGGCAATCTGAATTTCTTCTTTGGAGAAGTGTCTGTTCATATCCTCTGTGCATTTTTTAATCGGATTATTTGCTTTTTGGGTGTTGAGGCATCAAAATTCTTTATATATTTTGGATGTTAAACCCTTGTCAGATATGTCACTTACAAATATATTCTCCCATACTGTAGGATGCCTTTGTGTTCTGCTGATGGTGTCCTTTGCTGTACAGCTTTTTTAGCTTGATGTCATTCCATTCATTCATTTTTTATTTTGTTTCCCTTGCCCGAGGAGATGCTTTCAGGAAAAAGTTACTCGTTTTTATATTCAAGAGATTTTTGCCTATTTTTTTCCTAAGAGTTTTGTGGTTTCATGATTTACATTCTGAGCTCTGATTCATTTTGAGTTTACTTTTGTGTATGGGATTAGAAAATAATCCAGTTTCATTTTCTTGCATATAGCTGCCCAATTTTGCCAACATGAGTTACAGAAGAGGCTGTTATTTCCCCATTGTATATCCATGGCTCCTTTATCATATATTGTATATCCATGGCTCCTTTATCATGTATGTCTGGGTTTATATCTGGACTCACTAATCTGTTCCATTGGTCTATGGGTCTGTTCTTGTGCCAGTACCAAACTGTCTTGATTACTGTGGCTTTGTAGTAGACCTTCAAGTTGGGGAGTGTAATCCCCCCATTTAATTCTAACTTCTCAGTATTGCTTTGGCTATTCGGGATCTTTTGTGGTTCCATATGAATTTTAGAACTATTTGCTCTAGTTTGCTGAAGAATGCTGTTGGTACTTGGATAGGGATTGCATTGAATCTGTAGATTGCTTTAGGCAGGATGGCCATTTTTACAATATGAATTCTTCCTATCCATGTGCACAGGATGTGTTTCCATTTATTGGTATCTTCTTTAATTTCTCTCATGAGTGTCTTGCAGTTTTCAGAGTATAGGTCTTTCACTTCCTTAGTTAGGTTTATTCCTAGATATTTTATTCATTTTGATGCAACAGTGAATGGAATTGTTTACATGATTGCTCTCTCTGCTAATTCATCATTAAGAGTACAGGATTGCAACAGATTTCTGTGTATTAATTTTGTATCCCACAACTTTGCTGAATTCAGATATTAGATCTAGTAGTTTTGGAGTGGATTTTTTGGGTTTTTTATGTACAATATCATGTCATATGAAAACAGGGCCAGTTTAACTTCATCCTTGCCAATCTGTATGCTTTTTATTTCTTTGTGCTGTCTGATTGCCGTCATGAAGACCTCCAACTGTGTTGAATAAAAGTGGGGAGAGTGGGCATCCTTGTCTTGTTTCCGATCTTAAAGGAAAAGCTTTCAGCTTCTCGCTGTTAAGTATGATGTTGGCTGTGGGTTTGTCATATATGGCCTTTATTATGTTGAGGTACTTGCCCTCTATACACATTTCATTGAGAGTTTTTATCATGAATGGATGTTGAATTTTGTCAAATGCTTTTTCAGCATCTATGGAGATGATCGTGTGG